GGGTGGTGGTTGAGGGGGGAACAATGCAAAAATGGTTTGACATTTCTTTCTCCCAGCATGTTTTTTCAACATTGCAATCTAGTCTACAGCCTTAGATTTTCTGGTGGCCTCTCATCCAATATGGATCAGGTCTGACTCAGCTTAGTATTTCAAGATCACCCAAGATTCCCTAATTAGCACAATGTGCCAATTTCAGTTGAGATCTTTCCATAGGATTTATGGTTAAAATCGTGATAGGCTCTTTACCCTTTCTGTTTTCCTCAGAAGATAGTTTATAGTAGCATGTCTGGAAGCCTTTAATCCTATGCAAATAGTCCAGATTCAGATGAGAGCTTTAATGCAGAGGAAAGTATTAAATTTTCCCTGTTTCCATCCCAGGGGTTCTGATATAGACTGGATATTCATTCTTGCTATTTATTTTCTTTTCATTTTTAAAACATTATTAAATATGTAAAGAGTGAAAATAGAAAAAGAAATAGGAGGAAAGAAAGAGAAAAATGCATAAGGACTTTGCAGAATATTAAAGAAACAAACCAATTCCACTATTATTCTTATAAGTCATATTAAATTGAAACAAATATAAAGATAGTCATGCAGCACTTTAAATCTGATATTAGAATCAGATCAGAAGTTGACAAAAACAGCCCAAATAATAAGAATTAACAGGAATTTCTAAGTAATCTGAAGCATTCCATCCTTAATTTTATGGCCCACCTGACAAAACCTGGTGTTTTAAGACCTTATGTTGAAAGAAACCTGAACTATGATGTTAGGCAGAATTATAGGCATGTGCAGAATTATAGTCCATCCACCCCACTTGACCTTAAAATAAATCAACGAAAGACTGGACAGTTGAGGGACCCACCTCCTTTTGTGAAATGTGACATGAAGCTGAGCGGGGGAAACCATAGAAACTGGAGCAGGGTGTTTCAAAAAATTCAAGATGGTGGCCACAATTATCTGATCATGTGGTCATGTCTGCCACATTGACTTCCTCCCTGGATGCTCTTAAGTGGAACAAATTCTTTCTTCTTCTGGGCTCTCTTTTGATTCTAGCCAAAGGCCCTTGACTACCTGAATGGCTGAATTGCAGTGATACAACCATCTCACATCTTACATTTCCTTCTTTGGTGGAGTCCTGTATAGCTTAGCCTCCAGGACTTTATGTGCCTTCCCCACCCCCAAACCTGGTATGCAGCCACTAGAATGCCACCAAATGTTGCCACCAAATTTTAATGTGCAATATATGTAAAGGGAAAGATATTAAATTAATGGAGAGAGGGAACCACATAATTAAGTTTCAATTAAATTAAACATAGTTTAATGCTAGAGCTGGCTACTTCTTGATCCTGGCCCCATTTATTTATTTTTTTAAGTGATACCTCCAGTGCACCACTCAAAGGCCAAGTATGTCCCTTTGTCCAAAGTGCACCTATATACATATCTTACACACACACACACACGCACACACGATCAGTACATTCCTACTGACACAAATGTTGTTTTTTGTCTTGATTTTACAATCAAAATGATCTTGCCATTGGTTGGTGTTCCTTCTAGTTACGTGTGTTAGAGATAAGAGTGCTATTATATATGACAGAATTCTTAGCTGGTTAAATGATTCAAGTCATCAATTAAATCCAAGCCACCATGGCAAGATGCAGAGCAAGCTAAGCCAAAAACAATAACTTAGTAGTTTAGTTGTTTAGTAACCCAGCAGTCGTATTGAAACAGGTATATCCACAGGGTATAGTCAAAAAAGTCAAGATGGTGGTTGCAAGACACATAAATATCAGGCAGAACTTCAATCACACTATCACAATTATTGTCACTTCCTCATGAGATGGGCAGTGGCTAAATTTGAAATGTAAATAAAAATAAATAAATGATTATATCCTGTGGACACCCTGTGGAGGAATCAAACTAAAACAAATGCAAATATTATTGGGCTAAATGGTCTAAAATATTCCTATCTTGAATGCTAGGTACACAGGGATTAAGAGCAGTAGCTAGGAGCTTCAGTGCTCCTGATTAAAATTTTTGTTCACTCCTGAATTCATGGTCTGCCATTAAGCAATTTTTTTCAGTACTATTAAAGAACATCACATACAGTATTTTCAGTGCACAGGGACAATAATAAAGCTGTTACACTGTTGCCTGACATTTGGAATTATTAAAGCTATGTACAGTTTAATGTAGATGGGAGACCTCAACTATGGTTGGGTTTTATAGCTAAAGGAAATGAATGGCAGGAATTTCTAATGAAGAGTATCTTTTTTATTGTCCTTACGAACATTGTTTCTGACAGAGGAAACATTATGTTAACAATAGTTCCTGTCGCACAATATGGATTTGCCTCACAGATGGCACCAACAGAAGAGGGTTCCTACTGAGAGCCCAAAAGTTTGAAATTACTTATTTTTCTGCAGTTCTATCCAGGCAACAAGTGGTTCCACAAAACCCAGGTTGCCTAATGCAGGATTATGAAAATGCACAGAAAGATATTGCTCTCTGTAGCAGAGGAAGATTTAACACCAACCCCACCCCCCATCTGGCAGATTCCAGCAATAGAAAAACATAAAGACCCATCAGAATAGAAAGATTTTGTTGTTGTTTCTTTCTCACCAACTTTTTGAAAAGAAAAAGGTAGGTGAATTGGATGCTGTGGACGCCATACTAGGAAACCAAAGAGCAGACCAATACTATTTTTAACCTAAAGTTATAGTAACAAAATTTTGTAAGCCAGCATGCGCCTTCCCGATCCCTCGCTTTATCTTCATGTGAACAAGGGAGACATTTGCGTACATTACAGCCCTGTCCTGGACTCAGGTTTCTTTTATCTGACTGTTACCTTGGCAGTGGCTTTTCCTCCTGTCCCTCAAGGCCATTCCCTCTTTTCACTACATGCTGTGACAGTCTTGGCCTCTCAGTAGTATGGAGCTGGAAGCATCATCAATGAATGGGCAAGTCAGAGGCAGGGATAACACAGGAGAACATATTCTTTGAAGGCAGGAGGGAGAATGTTGTGTGGGCTGGAGGCATACTGAATTGTGTACGAGTGTGTGTGTGGGAGAAGGAACATCATACTGGGCATTGGGGATGCAAAAGATATCGGGCCATATTTATGAGTAGGGTTGTCCAGGAAGAGGGGCAGGAGTGGGTCAGAGTGATATGAGCCCCACATGTATGACATCACATACATGTACCTTCTGTCACTTGGACAGAAGCAATGACAGCCTGTGGAACAACACTGTGAGCAGGATTGGGACCCCTCCCCTTTTTTTTCCCTTCCCTTTTTGCAGGGAAGAGGGGATATGGCTTTTTATTTGTTTTTAACCTATATTTAATCTATTTCAGGATTTACACTACAGTTTCAGTATTTCTTGCCTTATACTGGCAGGAAACTACATCACTGATTTTTATTGAATTTTAGGAGTCAAAAAGAACTTTAGGAGCCACAAAAAGGATAAAGATTTCAAGGGCTGCAGACAGCCTTTAAGGTTGTAAATTGTCCATCCTTATCTTAAATCCAGCTAGACCTTGTAGAGTCTAAACTGGCTGCTTAAACTGTGTTGGGTAGCAATTTGGAGGCCAGTGCAGCACAGAATACGCTAATCTCCTTCCAGCTACTTATTCTCAATAACTGTGCTTTGAAATAATTGTGGCTTTGGAGCAACCTGGGGTGGATCAATCTGTTTCAGATGCGGTCACTGCTGTGTATCTTATTTATAATCCTGCTCTGTTCCATGTTCACATTAATCTGCAATTTGGGGTGGAGGCATTTGTACAATATTTTTTAAACAATTTAAATCCTTATTTATGAATGTGCTTCCTTATAAAATACTTTTAATATGCATTTTGAAACATATTTGAATTCAGAGGAAAAAAATGATTTATATGCTCACCTTAGTCCAGAAGGCAGAATTGGCAAAGATTTTCCTATCACTCCTAATCTTCATCACACAGCTGAAATTTGGTAACCAATTGCTGAAAAAAAGAACAGTAGTATGAGAAATGAAATCAGTGTGTTAGACCTAGACTAGGTAAAGATGATATGGATAAGGATAAAGATAACGATCAGAGCCAGTTTGGTGTATTGGTGAAGGCATCAGGCTAGAACCCTGGAGACCTTGAGTTCTAGACCCACCATAGGCATGATGCCAGCAGGGTGCCCTTGAGCCAGTCACTCTCTCTCAGTCCTAGGAAGAAGGTAAGGGCAAACAACTCCTGAAAAACCTGGCCAAGAAAACTACAGGGACTCATCTAGGCAGTTGCCAGGAGTCAAAAACTGTGGCAAAGGCACCAAAAAATAAAATAAAATAAAAATGCACTCAAGTTAAAACATCTTGGAAACGACATGGATTCAGTGATGTTTTTTTCTTAGTAACACTGTGATAGTGTTTTGCAATTACCTTTTCCAGGATGATTGCTGACTTCGCAATCTAACCTACAGCCTTGGAATCCCCCGGTAGTATCCTGTCCAAACACTAACTAGATTTAATCACTTTATTAGGACTTACTCCAGGTGGGTTCATAAAACCCTGCAGCCTTCATCTAGGAAAGAATGCTTATATTCATTTCTAGAGCAGGATCAATCATACTTAACATTTAAGATTTTGTTTCTGACTGAGGAGCAAAAACAGTCTTTTTCTTTTTTCAAATCAGCTTTCCAAAACAAATTTGGTGGCTGCAGTGTGTACCTAACCCATTTCTTTCGGTGAGAATGGTGAACATCTTGCCCCCGTCCCAGGGTGAATGCTAGCCTCCACTTTGATTTCAGAGTCCCAGAGGCAAAAAAATGCTGAACAGTCATTGCTTTATCACCTGTGACTCTGTGGAAGCAGTTCTTCCTTCCTTTTTTCACTCCAGCGAAATTAGCTTAGGGAAGCAAAGTTTGAATGGCAAATTCCTGTTATTCCAAAATGCCCTACGCAGCACCGCATTTCCTTATCATTCGAGCACCAGCATGTACTCACTGAACTATCAGTTCTCAGAAATGAGCCCCTTTCTCTTCTTGGCTGGGTTTAATAAGATACGCTACAAAAGGAGCCCATGACATGACATGTGCTGGTGGAAGGGAAGAGAGTGGGAACCAGCTAGCAATGATTGTTCCTTTGCTTCTCTTTTTCCTTTCTGTTCTTCACAGTGCGGTTTCACTAGTGGGTAAGTCACTGTCAGTTCTTTACCAAGAATGGGGATATTAAGATGAAATAGCAGGTTTTGATTTCTTTTTTCCCACCCAGGAGAATTCAGACTTTCAAATGGATATTAGTGATTTGATGGGCATACATAATGCTGGCAATAGGATGGGAAGACATGTCTACTTAAACAGTCCATTCTGTTGCACAGGGCTTTCCTCTGCCAAATCATTCTTTGCTGCCAGTTTGAAGATTAAATAAAATAAATAACAAACCAGAACACACACCCACCACCTCTAATGCAATCAATGGAGATTGGAGAATGGGTGTGCACTATTATAAGCAGAGAATAAGCTCATGTTACACGAAATGTGTATGCATATCAGGAAAGAAAATGAATATTTTACTAGTAGTTAGCCATTCTGTTAAGATGCAGTTTTACACATAAAAGGGTACAATAAGTTTTTAAATCAGCAGCATGGTAACATTAGTGTTTTTAACTTTGAGGGCAAAAATAATTCTCTTTTAAAATCAGCTGCTGAATACTTCACTAAAACTACAGCCTCATGTCTACTTCTTTTTGAGTAATCTCATTTGAACTCACTGGGAATTATTGATTCATAATAATTCTTTAATGACTACTTTGTACATGATTGCAGAGGAAAGCTTTTAGGATTTTCAGAAATTGGGGTAATGCAAAGGGTCATTATATTTTGTTTAACGCATTGCTTAAATGTCTGGAAAGGTTTTTGCTTTTTCTTTCACCCCCATGGAACCATAATTAAAAAGTTGGGAACCTACTATATTCTTTTATGATTTTACTGAAAACCAAACCCACTTTTATTAAATACAGAAGTGTGGGTCTGTAGATTCATCCTTGTTTCCCTATGTTTCTGCTGTGAGACCAGCACGTTGTACTCTATGCATCAGAAAAGTTCTGCTGGGTCTGACTAAAGACCCATCTAGCCTGGCATTTTTATCTCATTTTAGCCATGCAGATGCCTTGGGGAAGTCCCAAAGCAAAACCAAAGCACAAGAGGATTGTCCTGTTTGTGTTTCCCAGCTACTATCTCTGTTAATAGAAGTAATATATAATTGTTCTCATGATTAGCAGCCATAGGTAATCCTGCTGTGGAAGGCTGCTTCAATGAATAGAAGGCGATATCAGAGGAATGACAATGCACACCATGCTCTTAACTTCTCTGCATAGTCTTCTGCACAGAATCTCAACAGATACCTTCTATGCAGAAGTCTGGATCGCCTATGCAGAGCTCATGAATGTCCTGAAGAAGAAGCCGAGATAGTTATGTTCTATTTTGTGGTGTAGTTAGTTGTGGATCTCATACTTGGTTTGAACACCAAACACTCTTTTTTAGGCATAGTATAATAGCCTTGCAGGCAATCTTTAGTTTTCTTGCTGCTGGAGTGAGGGATTGGGGGGGGGGGGGAACCTATTTTCATAGCTGTTCTATAGCTCTTTCTTGGGGATAGTTTTTTCACAGTCTGCTGGTATGCGCAGT